GATGGAGTGGTAGGAAGAGTGGAGGAGGTCGACAAGTTAGCAGGGGGTGGGGTAGGCTTCCCTGAAGAGATGGGTTTTCAGGGTGCGCCTAAAGGAGAGGAGAGTAGGTGATAATCTGATGGGTTGGGGTAGGGAGTTCCAGAGGATGGGTGACACCCTGGAGAAGTCCTGGAGGCGGGCATGGGAGGAGGAGACCAGGAAACTAGAGAGAAGGAGGTCTTGTGAGGAGCGGAGTGTGCGTGCTGGGCGGTACTTGGATATTAGGTCAGTGATGTAGTTCGGGGCAGTATGGTGGATAGCTTTGTACGTCAGCGTTAGGATTTTGAATTTGATCCGTTGCGCAATCGGAAGCCAGTGGAGGGATTGGTAGAGGGGGGTGGCGGAGACAGAGCGGTTGGAAAGGTGAATGAGTCTGGCAGCCGTATTCAGGATGGACTGAAGCGGGGATAGCCTGCGGCGAGGCCGGCCAGTGAGGAGGGAGTTGCAGTAGTCGAGTCTTGATATGATGAGGGAGTGGATGAGCTGTTTAGTGGTTTCTGGGGTTAGGAACGTGTGGAGTCTGCACGAGTTTGTTAAAGATTGGACTTGGGGCTGGAAGGATAGGTTGGAGTCCAGAATGACACCAAGTACTCTGGCCTGCGGGGCAGGTTTGATTGTAGCGTTGTTCGATGTGATAGAGAAGTCAATGGGGGGTGGTGTCCGGGCTGGGGGGAAGACAAGAAACTCGGTTTTGGAGAGGTTCCGTTTAAGGAAGTGGAGCGATATCCAGTCTGATATGTCGCTCAGCAGGTGTGTGATTCGGGCGGAGACCCAGGGGGTGAGGTGGGGGGTTGAGAGATAGATTTGTGTGTTGTCGGCATACAGGTGGTAGTTGAAGCCGTGAGAGTGTATGAGTTGGCCAAGGGAGGAGGTGTAGATGGAGAAGAGAAGGGGCCCGAGGACAGAGCCTTGAGGGACCCCAACAGAGAGGGGGAGTGAGAGGGAGGTGGTAGCATTATAGGTAACGCTGAAAGAGCGTTGTGACAGGTAGGATGAGAGCCAGGAGAGAGCAGAATCTTTGAGGCCAAGGGAGTGTAGTTTTTTGAGGAGGAGGGGTGGTCGACTGTGGGTCAAGGAGTAGGAGCACTGAATAGTGGCCATTAGCTTTGGCGGTTAGCAGGTCGTTGGAGAGTCAACTGTTAGCGATATTATAACAAAGTGGAAGCAACTGGGAACAACAGCACCTCAGCCATGAAGTGGTAGGCCACGTAAAATAACAGAGCGCGGTCAGCGCATCCTGAAGCACAAGGTGCACACAAGTCGCCAACTGTATGCAGAGTCAATAGCTAAAGACCTCCAAACTTCATGTGGACTTCAGATTAGTACAACAAAAGTGCGTAGAGAGCTTCATGGAATGGGTTTCCACGGCCGAACAGCTGCATCCAAGCCTTACATCACCAAATGCAATGCAATGCATCGGATGCAGTGGTTTAAAGAACGCCGCCACTGGACTCTAGAGCAGTGGAGACGTGTTCTCTGGAGTGGCAAATAACCCTTCTCTGTCTGGCAATCCGATGGACGTGTCTGGGTTTGGCAGTTGCCAGGAGAACGGTACTTGTCTGACTGCATTCTACTAAGTGTAAAGTTTGGTGGAGGGGGGATTATGGTGTGGGGTTGTTTTTCAGGGGTTGGGCTTGGCCCCTTAGTTGCAGTGAAGGGAACTCTTAAGGCGTCAGCATACCAAGACATTTTGGACAATTTCATGCTCCCAACTGTGTGGGAACAGTTTGGGGATGGTCCCTTCCTGTTCCAACATTACTGTGCACCAGTGCCCAAAGTAAGGGCCATAAAGACATGGATGAGTGAGTTTGGGGTGGAGGAACGTGACTGGCTTGAATCCAGGGGCGGACTGACCATTTGGATACTCGGGCACTGCCTGAGGGCCCGGGGTCAGTAGGGGGCCCCATGAGATACCCCTGGTACCTTTTTCATAGGCTTTTTTGAGTCTGGGCAAGGACACAGGGGCCCCATGATCCCCTATTGGCTGGGGGCCCCATGAGTTATCAGTCCGCCCCTGGGCTTGACCTCAACCCAATAGAACACCTTTGGGATGGATTAGAGCAGAGACTGCAATCCAGGCCTTCTCGTCTGACATCAGTGTCTGATCTCACAAATGCTCTTCTGGAAGAATGGTCAAACATTCCCATAGACACACTCCTAAACCTTGCGGACAGACTTCCCAGAAGAGTTGAAGGTGTTATAGCTGCAAAGGGTGGGCCAACTCAATACTGAACCCTACAGACTAAGACTTGGATGCCGTTAAAATTCATGTGCGTGTAAATGCAGGCATCCCAATACTTTTGGCAATATAGTGTATGTGAACAGGCACAATTAGAAGCAATGTTATTTCACATGTTCTGTTGATTGGATGCGGTTCAAACCTCATCCAATCCACATATATGTGAACCAGCACTAAGTGCTGTTTCAAGTTAACCTGCTAGCCATTGTAACTGTTTAAAGTTATACCTGTCAGCCATTAAAACTTTTTTTTTTTTTGTAAATGCCACTTTGATTAAGTCTAACTTTGTTACTACAGGTCCGACTTCTGGGTTTGTCACTGGCCAGTAAAGTGCTTTCATTGGATTGGAGTTATAGTTGAGTGAAGCTAAAGCTGGCCATAGATGAATTGAAAATTGGTCGGTTCAGCAAGGACTGATCGTCTAATGATCGACTTCTCTGGAACAGGAATGTTGGAAAATTTTTGATCAGAGCATTCAGCCAATCGACTGGTGCGCTGATCAGTGTATTCTGACAACAAAGGAGTCCCCATTGTCAGAATACAATTGAATACAATTTTTTTAGCAGTCCACTGGCTGATCAAAAAATGATTAATCTATGGGCAGCTTTAGTTCGAAGGTCAGGTCACCAGTATTAACAAGAAATATATGTAATTGGTGGGGAGTACAATAGGTCTGACTACAATGGATAATAGCAGGCATCTTGTGCTACTGTAAATGGTGTTAACATATTGGGTGGTTTGCCTAAATCCATCCTTATGATCTGATAGGGGAATGTCATATATCTGTGGGCCCATTATCAAGATCTCTAGTGACCTGGGCTTTCATGAGAGCCAAAGCTATCAGTTTGAAACGTTTTTTTTTTTTTTACCTGCTATTCTCCCCCCACAAAAAAAAGTTCTTAAGTGCTCCTCTCACCTTCATGAACTTGAGCATGTACATTTGCCGAATGCAATTGTCTATACTTGTGCCATAATCTTTCATTAGATCATTTCATCAGATTTCATCAGATTAAAACAACGGCTTGCATTAGTCAATCTGGTAAGTACATATCAATGTACCAAGCCCAGCTTACTGTTCTGTCCTGCTTCACCATTAATCACCCATCCTATGGAGGAAATAAAAAGAGCCTTGTGATCATTTACAAAGTCTCTGGTGTCCTGGATATGTTCGCAAATGGTAGACATCAGTGTTATGAATAATAAAGATTGTACAGAAGACTGGAAAAAGGTTAAAGTTAGTTATATGTTACAGTCTGATTGTAAAAATGTTTAAAAATCTCCTTTAGATTTATCAACAACTATGTTATGTAAGGGATTACCTGAATGAAAATAAATCCAATTAATAAGGTAGACCCTTGAACTGCATAATTTCTTATAAATGTAAAGGAGATTGTACAGCGATATTGTAAAGAGTGTGGCCAGCTTTAGAGTCCATGGTGGTGGAGAGGCTCTTGTTACACCTACTTTAGCAGCAGAGCAGAATTCTTACATCTGTCAAATGGTGTTTTGATTTATCTGCACATTCTTCTGCTTCTCCCCAGCAAGTAAGACCACAGGGGAGAGCAACTTTGGATATATGAGTCGTTAGTGACTATGTTGGAGATGCTCAGTAAGGTTTAGCATGCCTGAAAGCACTGGCTAGCAGGGCCGGGACAAGGGGTGGGCAGGAGTGGTGGCTGCCCTGAGCATGGTTTGGGGGTTGTGCTAGAAGGGGTGATTTGGAGGGGTGATTTGTACTAGGGGGGTAGCTTTCTGTTAGGAAGAGGAATTTTGGGGAATGATTTGTGCTAGTAGGGATGATTAGGGGGATTTGTGCTAGGAGGGGAAATTTTGGGGGGAGGATTAGTGCTAAGAGAAGGGATTTGTAATGGAAGATGGGAATTTTTGTTTGGAACCTTGTTCTGGCACTGCTGGTTAGACTTGCCCATGCCAGAATTATCCCCTGTACTACAGGAAACAGCATTCAGAAGGTACTCCAGTATAGCTTGCACAGGTATCTCTGGAAATACCACTGGTGTGGTGCCATGAGTAGTAAAGGTTCCTGCCAGTTTAAATCATTTAAAATGGCTGATAGTTTCAATCCAAAGGGAGGTTTAAAGCGGAACTTCACTCCCTCAATCAACATTGACTATTTGTAATCCTTATGCTGCTAGCATTCGTAAATAGATAGGAAAATATATCATATTTACTTGTTTTAAGCTTTTCTTTACATTTCTTCAGTTACTTCATGGTTTGCAGGCCTAGACAAATGATGTCACACATCCCAGAAGTCTTCAGGAGGGGAGGAGGGGTTTTACCAGCTAAGCATACCATCCTGCCTGCGTGTCTGAGCTAAGGGCAGGTGGATTTACTCAAGGTGGCCACAGCCAGAAATGCTAGTGGGTATTTTTCAAAGCGGTTTCTCAGCAAATTAAAGCATGGAGACCTGGATGGATGGGTGCATTTGCCTTGAACATTAAAAATGAATTAAGCAGCATTTTTGGTTTGTGGTGCCCATATGCAGTGTAGCTCCACTTTAACTGATGCAAAGAAGGATACAAACACAGTGATGTAGCCCATATTTCCCTTGGGTATTTAATCCTAACTTTTTTGATCAAATGAACATGTATGTGTTCCTATATGTTTACCTTTCTTTTGTATTTAATTTTGCTAGATTCATCCAATTTTTTTAAATAAAATCTCCAAATGGAATTGACTAGCATTTTGTTTTCTTTCTTGCCAGTGTTCCACTAGAAGGAAAGGAAAGTGTTTGCAAAGCAGAGGTAGTTCCTATATTTGTACAGCTCTTGGAAGATGAGGATGCTGAGGTCAGAGCCAATGCTTCTGGGGCTTTGATGTTCACTACCATTACTACTCAAGGTAAGGCATCTGTCCTATGGTGGTATGATAACTCGACATAGTTTCCCCAGCATGCTCTCATTGGGACTTTTTCTGCAGGGAAATATGCAGCTCTTCATTCTGGAGCCATTCCAAAACTGTTAGCTCTTGTGAAAGATAGCCACAGCAAGGTGCGACTGAACTGCATCAAGGCATTGACTACCCTGTCTGAAACACCTGAAGGTCGCAAAGTTCTTCAGCCAGATGTCAATCTACTCCAGGAATGTCTGAGTGACTCCAGTGAAGCAGTGAAGACAGCAGCTGCTATAGCAGTACAAGTCATACAGTGGAAACCCTGAGCCATAATCATACACAGGAATATTACTGGGTTCAATTCACTCACCTTCAAAGTGATAGCCAAATGAAACAATGGATCCTTTGGTATAAATTTGTTAAGAAATTGTCTGATTGTTTCCTACACTATACAAAGAGTCTAGTATTCCCACTGCTCAATAGTTGTGCATACCTGTATTTTCTTGCTAACTGCAGTGAAACAGTATTCCCAAATTTGATTAAACATTTTTTACAATAAACCTGAAAAACTTTAAAAACAACTCATACTTCAATTTATGTAATATCCTCCATATTGGTCCCAGATTCGATTCTTGAGCATTAAAGGCTATCTCCACCTTCAAGACCATGTTACACCCATATTTAGGGTGTAACAAAGTGCCAAGCAGAACCGCCACCACCTCCAAAAAAGCCCCCCTTTCCCCAACAGATGGATTTGTTGTTCTAAATGGATTAGAAGTGTGGTGATGACTGCACTCGTAGTCCATTGACCCTACCTTCATCTCTCTAACTGACGGCCCATACATCGGTACAGACAGGGAGCTGAAGAAAGAGTCTGCAGGAGCCTGGCATTGGATACACTGATCGCAGTTACAATCCTTTGTATGCTGATTTGCAAAAACATAATAAAGGCACATTTGTTGTCTGAAAAAATATGTTGTTTTTTTTTTTTTTGGTTTTTTTTTTTTACAAATTGTGGACTTCATGGTGATACTGCTCAACTTTCTTAAAGTTGAGGTGCCATGATCTCAAGAAATGATACCCATATTGATGCAATGAAAGTCTGGAGATGACAAAACTCCAATTTAAGGACCTACTTAGGTTCTTGATCTGCAGGCTGGGCAGCTTTGATCTAGTAGCTTTGAACTCAATTATATCCATATAGACTGATCTCTTTGCAGCATGAGAAAAAAAAGGTTCTAGGACTACATACAAAGAAGTTGTAGGATTTGAAGACCAATCTCTACTGCAGAAAATAGGGCACAGTTATATCTGTATTGTTTCAGAGAAGCTCTATAACTGCATAAGACAGCCATGGAGATCAAACGAATGTGAAGTAATAAGTGACTTTTTATGGGATCATGAACATAACAACTAAAAGTGACATGCTTCATTCTTGTGATTAAAACTGATGTTTGAACTTTATAGCACCATTAGTTGTGCAACAGACTATAAGGGTGTGAGGTGTGGTGGAGACGTGTAGGCTGAGGCTGTTCCTTATCATTTGTTCACCTGGGCTGATCTGGAGTAGCAGTTTCCTCATTACATTTATTATACAGTTGTAGCAATTATCACATCATTATGGGGAGTATTTCATATACATTAAATCTATACATGGAATGGTTTATATTTTCCTACAGTTTTATACTGTCAGTCTGTCTAAACCAACAAACTACTCCAAACGCTTATCCCACCAGAAAAAAAATAGAGCAAAATCACTAAATCAATGTGAACAGCACAGTGGTTACATGGTTAGCACTTCTGCCTGACAGCACTAGGATCATTGAATCGAATCCCAACCACGGCACTACCTGCACGAAGTTTGCATGTTCTGCCTGTATGGGTTTCCTCTGGGTACTCTGGTTTTCTCCCCACACTCCAAAGACATGCTGGAAGGTTAATTGGCTCCTGTCTAAATTGGCCCTAGTATTTGTGTGTATGAATGTGAGATACGGACCTTAGATGGTACGCTCCTTCAGGGACTGATGTGAATGTACAATATATATATATACATATATATATATATATATGTATGTGTTGCCTAAATTGACAGCCCTATACAGTATAGGTACCTGCAATAAATAAACTACCAAACGGTGAGCTAGCAAACCTATTAACGGCTTAAGGACTGCCCTATAGCAGGGCGGCACCTGTGTGCAAAATCACGTATATATACAGTCAGGTCCATAAATATTGGGACATCGACTCAATTCTAAAATTTTTGGCTCTATACACCACCACAATGGATTTGAAATGAAACGAACAAGATGTGCTTTAACTGCAGACTGTCAGCTTTAATTTAAGGGGTATTTACATCCAAATCAGGTGAACGGTGTAGGAATTACAACAGTTTGCATATGTGCCTCCCACTTGTTAAGGGACCAAAAGTAATGGGACAATTGGCTTCTCAGCTGTTCCATGGCCAGGTGTGTGTTATTCCCTCATTATCCCAATTACAATGAGCAGATAAAAGGTCCAGAGTTCATTTCAAGTGTGCTATTTGCATTTGGAATCTGTTGCTGTCAACTCTCAAGATGAGATCCAAAGAGCTGTCACTATCAGTGAAGCAAGCCATCATTAGGCTGAAAAAACAAAACAAACCCATCAGAGAGATAGCAAAAACATTAGGCATGGCCAAAACAACTGTTTGGAACATTCTTAAAAAGAAGAAATGCACCGGTGAGCTCAGCAACAACACAAAAGACCCGGAAGAGCACGGAAAACAACTGTGGTGGATGACCAAAGAATTCTTTCCCTGGTGAAGAAAACACCCTTCACAACAGTTGGCCAGATCAAGAACACTCTCCAGGAGGTAGGTGTATGTGTGTCAAAGTCAACAATCAAGAGAAGACTTCCTGAACCCCTTCCTGCCCAGTGCCATTAGTACAGTGTCAGTGCTTTTGTTTAGCACTGATCACTGTATTGGTGTCACTGGGGATGTCAGTGACACCAAGTTAGTTCCCCCCAGTGTCAAAATGTCTGCCGCAGTCCTGAAGTCCTGCTAAAAGTCGCTGATCGACTCCATTACTAGTGGAAAAAAAATGTAAAAATCCCAATATCTATGCTGCCGTTTGTATATGATATAACTTTCACGTAAACCAATTAATTTACACATATTGGTATTTTTTTTAGTAATACATGTCGCAGTATACATTTTGGCCTAAATTTATGACGAAATTTGATTTTTTTTAATTTTTTTTACTGGACGTTTAATAGCAAAAAGTCAAAAATATTTTTTCTCAAAATTGTCGGTCTTTTTTGCTTATAGCGCAAAAATAAAAAACCGCACAGGTACAGAAAGCTCAATTCATGGGAAAAAAAGGACATAAATTCCATTTGGGTGCAGTGTTGCATTACTGCACAATTGTCAGTTAAAGTAACGCAGCGCCGTAATGCAAAAAATGGCCTGGTCAGGAAGGGGGGTAAATCCTCTGGAGGGCAAGTGGTTAAGGTGATATATAGCGCTCAATTGCAACAATTCCAACAAATATAATGATGTAAATAGCAACTATAAACAGATATACACCATACCAACCATACATGGTGTGACAGTGTGAGGCCCTGCCACTATGTGAATTTAGATTATGAAGATAGAAATAACACAGGACTTTCAAAAAATCCAGTTTGAGAAGCTCCAGCAGGTGGTTTGTGAGCAGTGAAAACTGTCCTACGTTTTCTCTGGAATTGGTAGTACTGGATCAAGACCTGGGACTTGAAGGTTCCAAAGAGCCTTGGGTGGGGTGGAACCTTCAAGTTCCACACGCAGGCTTTGCTAGTTGCCAGCAGCCTGTATGAGCGCACAGGTGTACAGAATGTTTATAAACCAGATCTGGATATAGCCCATATCAGTTGTTGCAGTTGCTGCCGCGTGGAGATGGACATCTGTCAGGAAACCTGGTTGCATCCCTTGTGTGAGGGACTTCTTGCCCAAAAGACTGGGAAGGCTGGGACAGCTACATGGGCTTGGAAGACCAAGAAAGGGTTTGGGAAGCTGATAAAGCTGAGGCAGCTAGCAGGTCCAGGAAGGCTAAAGGAAGACTGGAAGTCTCTGAGCAAGTGAGGAAACCCTGGAAGGGTGCTGGATAACCCTACCTGGAGGCCAGGAGTGGGTCCATGCAGTAAGGTCCTGCAATCGAGGCTGAAAGAGCCAAACAGAGCAGAGGTATTGTGGACCAGAGAGCCAGGTGGTTCGGTATATAACATTGTTGCTAAATAAAACTTAAACCCCTGCATGGGAATCTTGGATGGACCTTTAATCTTTTATTTTTTTTTTAACGGAACGCTTCACGAATTTGCGTGTCATCCTTGTACAGGGGCCATGCTAATCTTCTCTGTATCGTTCCAATTTTAGTATATGAGCTGCCAAAGCAAGCACTTTAATTTTTGTCTAATAAAAGTGGGCTGCTGAGCCTTTAAAAATAGTTTGGACTGATGTGAACGCACCTCAAAATCACATCTACCACTAGAGCTAAACAGCCCCCAAAGCTTGACTTCAGACAGATGTAAAAGACAGAGATTAATGCAGCTCTGTATTTCTGAAATAATACATTATTAAATGCATGCTTTAAATTGCCAGCAAAGTGAGTACCTGAATTTGACCTGATATCAGCTTCTTGCAGCTCCTTTACTGCATTGATCAGACTGGGAGAGGAAAAAGCAGCAGAAGGAGCCAATCTTCTGTGCTGAAGTGTAAGGGACATGCTGTGGCAGGCGTACATCCAGAGATGGACGCGGTTCAACGATTTTGGCTTCAACCTCCATCTTGGCAAAGGGGTTAACCATCCTGACAAACATATTTCCCCCTCATTCTCCCCCTTCCCTCTCTGTTAATTTACAGTGTGTGTGTTAGGAGTGTCACAGGAGGCCAGAGCCCAGCAGGGGGCTAGGAGTTATAAAATCCCCAAGGGAGCTGGGGCCTCACTGTCCAAAGAACCTGGGCAATTTAACACCTTGTAAAAAGATAACGCAGCCTTCCCAGGAGTTCAAAAGACATTCCAAGGAAGCACTTCCAGATAACCTTAAAAATCCATTTTTCCCCTATGTCTCATATCTTGGAATATCTTGGAATATGAGAGACTTACATAAAAACCAGGCATATTGTCAGATTGGCCAAGAGGTGACGAACAGTTTGATAGGTCACTCTCCTTGTCTCGAATACATAGGAAAGCAGAAAAGTAGCTCTCGTGAACCATTCAGTGTAGAATTTCATAATTCATATCTAATCAATCCTCAGACGTGTCTGCATAATAATCTACCCACGGGTGGAGTGTCACTTGTGCATATGAAG